AAGGTGCTTGCCATCAATTTACATTTTTGTGAGTCAGTGGAACCTATGATTGCCATTTGATTGTTGATGACAATTACGTGCTCCTGAGGGTCTGTTTTTCCATCGTAAGTTGTCAACAACGATGATTTAAAATTCTCAGGGACTTGATTACCCATATATATTGAGAAAGCGGTTGGGGTTCCAGAAGCTCCTCTTCTAGGTGTTTGTCCCCCTGACTTCTTTGTTTTAGGTCTATTACGTTGTCCTGCAGAGTTTTATTTTGCTGTCTGAGAGCCTCCACCATGGCCAGTAGTTGTGCCATGTTTGAGGAGTCTACATCAGTTGAAATTCTGTTGAATGTGATTAGAGGTGTAACCTAGAATAGTTTTACCAAGGCCCCACGATGGCCTCCAATGTTCTTGCGTAGAATAAATATTCGGTCGGCTTCCTCTTTGGAGGTGAGGAAAGCCACGAAAGTTGGTTTGTAGGAATTTTGGGGACTTGGGAGCTACGTCAGTGTGCGTATTTTCCCAAGAGAAAATGTCTTGCTTATCCCTCTGTCGGGATCCCCTTATATAGTATTCCTCCTTTGCATCATCAAGAGCCTCAGTTAATGAGTGACTCTTGAGTTCTATAACTCTGTAACCTCCGTCGTATCCATGAATAGAAGGGGTTAAAGTTGTGTAACATTGCAGTAAATGCGCCATCAGCGGTTACGAGCATTAATGAGCCGATTAGATGACCGACCATGGGCAGGCGGCCTCGGTCTCCACCTCTAGCCGGATCCAAGGTACATATGGGCTGCAACCCAGAGGCGTGATGATCTTCCAATATTCCTTATCCAGGTTGCACCCCGGTAACTCCTCCATCGAACCGACTACCTTCGTCATCACTTCTTTCACCGATTACACTACCCGTTCGGGGCTAATATTTCTGAGATATACACCAGTATTTAAGAGATATGGCACAATTAGAAGGCAGAGTTCGTTAGGTCGAACATCTAAAAGTTGAAAAAGTTAGAGCCAATAAAAACAATAGAATAGAAAGGGTAGCCTATGCCGAAATGGATGACGACAAACCAGAGGTGTATAGTGACCCTATAGATTTCGACGAAAACGAAATAGATCTAGCCAAACTAAAACAAGGGCCACCCTATTCATGCAAAGTTCTTGCTCATTCGAATGGGAAAATCCCGCCGAGCAAGAAAAGAAAGATAGCTTCCTGAAAAGAACATACCTTCGATGTAATGAAGTGCGACAAAATCTTTAACTTACTAGTTAAAGATGGAGAAATGATAGTGCCACCAGGCGCTAAAATTCCCTCATTAGAACAATGAAAGAAAAGAGGATTCTTGAAATATCATAATTTCTTGGGCCATAAAACCTCATAATGTTTTCTTTTCATGGATTTGGTGCAAAATGCTATGCGAGATGGAAGACTCAAGTTCGATGAGAAGAAAAAAGTGCAGATAAAGGTCGATTCAGACCTCCTCCAGGTAGCTGACGCTCACTACACAGAGCCGTCAAATATCAACATGATCGAAGTTGCTAAGGACTTCGAAGACCAGAACACCAAGAATGAAACTACTGAAAGATTCAATTAGAGTGTCAAAGTGACAGAGGCTACTGAAAACCTTAGTCTAAAGTTGAAAAGGTGCAGGATCACTGACGGTCCTAAGGTCGAATTCAATATGGTGGAACTGAGTAACAAAGTATCTGTGGATTATAACGAAAAAAGTATTTGAAGAGAGGAGAACCAAATGAAAGTGGCATATCCCAAGGCCAATAAAAATCTGCTAGATTTCCTTCTTCGCTGCTAGAAGAAGAATTCAGAAGCCCTAATGTGTCCCAGGTGCAGTTTAATGTATGACAGGAAAGCGGTTGATAACTTGGAAAGAGTTTGAATTGCTAGTCGGAAAGGAAACTGGAAGAACGATGGGGGAAGGTTTACGTTCGACAAGAGGGGAGTTCCCCGAAGGCAGCAACAAGGAGGATAAAACCTTAGGGCAAACAAATAAGCTTCCTTCAAGCCCACTGCAGATGCTCCCACAAATAAGTGGGTGAAGCCTATCAAGAACAGAGATCCGGGATAAGGAAAATGGAGAAGTTTCAAGTTTGGAAGGGGGTCTTCGATTTCCTATCGAAGGGAATTTCAAGTATCAAAACAACAGGGATACACGTCTGAAAATTATAAGGGAAATAATCCCATGTATAGGTATCAATGGAGAAGGTTCCAACGAAAGAAGAAAGCAAAGAGAGAAGCATATGAGGTAGGTATGGCATAATCAAGCACTAACCAGCCTTAATCCATTGACATGATCAAAGAGAAAAAACCAGTGGGAAGGAAATTGTTCTCTCCTAAAGAAGAAAAATCCAAAGGAAAGATACCAGAGTAACCTCTTGACGATGAGGACATGTTGACTGACGATTTTGATTCAAATTCTGAGTCATCCATGAATATTAATTGTAATGTTGCTTTTGTGTTGCCTTATGAGTATGATCAGGTTACAGAGGTCGAAGAGACCGAAGAAGAAGACGAGGCTGAGATGGCCAAACATAGGCCAGTATGTTACTATGTAATGAACAATGGCGTAGTCGATGAGCAAAACGCCTTCTTCAAAAGGTCAGACGAGGGGATGAAGAACCATCTGAAGCCTCTATTTATAAGAGGAAAAGTGGAAGGTACCGAGGTCAACAAGATCCTAGTAGACGAGGAGCGGTGGTGAATTTAATGACGCAGTTCATGTTAAAGAGAATAGGAATGTTCAATACAGACTTGAAGCTTCATAACATGGTCTTATCGAATTACGAGGGGAAAATTGACCACACCTTGGGTGTCATTCAGGTTAATCTATCAGTGGAAACTATCACCAGTCCCACTATATTCATGGTGATAACTTCGAGAGCCAACTACAACATACTCCTAGGAAGGGAGTGGATCCATGGCATCAGAGCAGTCTCATCCTCGCTCCACTAGAGGATATCAATCTGGCGATAAGATGGAATTGTGGAGAATATCGAAGCAGATCAAAGATACTACATGGCTGAAGTGAACCGTGTGGATAGGCCCAACTTCGATAGAAACTTGGCGAACATAAGGCCTTGCGCCTCAGTAGATCATGCTTATTTACCATCGAACAAAGCCCTTTATTTCCTCAACTTGCACCCAACACATGGGTTCCAATAGGACAGGAAATTATGGGAGAGGAAGACGATATAAAAGGGGTACTAGGACTTCGACCGACTGGTTGGGGGGACAAAGACGGTGACCATGTCTGAGTCCAACTTCTTGAAAAATATTTGGCTTATATGGCCGAAAACAAGTTAAAAGCAGCCTTGGAGGCTAAAGTGAAATACATGGTTGCCGAAGCCAAAGAAACTGCAATGCATCTAGAGGGACCTGGGGTTGACTTTGAGTCAGAACCACCTACTAAGTGGGACGATGAGACGTTTGAAAAAGTGGTCATTATGACCATGATGTCACGGAAATATTGGCATTTGCGTCGAAAAGTTTTTCAAAAATAATCATTTTTTAAACATATTGAAAAGAAATATTTTTGGGGGGGCAATTTGTTAGCTGTAATTTCGAAGGTCCAACGAATAGAGGATTCGAGGAGAATTCGAAAAAGACAAGTGTGGAATGATGAGAGCTGATTTCGACTTGAAGTGTTATAAGGCATGCTTTCAACCAAGTTTTACACATACGAAATAATGCAAGGCGAATGACTTAGTATTTTTTTTGAAGATACTCGAGGCGGGTTCGACAGATATTCAAATAAGACTATAACTGATTTTAGCGCTCATCTGATCTTTGAAAAAGAGATATGTGGAAGCCTGCGAAGGGCTAGAGACATGCAAACGAGAACGTGTCATCCTCTGAGATTGATACCCAGAAAACTTAGAAAACAAAATATACACTATTGTCCTAGAATCAATCTAGTTGATCCTGTAAGCAACCAAAGTCCTTAGGATTCGGAAGACTAGCGCTTGTTTACTAAATTTCACAGTAAACACCCCCCTCACAATCACCATGGCCATTTAAATGGGTGAGAAGACAAATCTCAATTATTGTATCTTTTGTTGTGACAATTAACAAGCCTCAAGAATAATTTTTAAACCACATTGGTTTATATTTGTCAAAAAATATTTTCAGTCTTAGTCAGTTGTACGTCACAATATCTAAGATTAAGACTAAATTGGATCTTAAAACTTTGATTCATGATAAAGATAAATTGCCTATAACTACTACATCAAATATTGTGTTAGTCAGTTGTACGTCACAATATCTAAGATTAAGACTAAATTGGATCTTAAAACTTTGATTCATGATAAAGATAAATTGCCTATAACTACTACATCAAATATTGTGTACAATGAAGTTTTCCACAGTAACATTTTGTTAATCTTGAAGATTCATGATTTATGTTTCCAACCTTATAATAACATAAATGGAGATAGGCCGACAAGTTTGTTGAAAAAATGCTACTTTTTTACTATATTTGTTTCTTCTTACAATGATAATTTACAATGATAATTGACAACATATGTCAACTATACATTAACTTTTGGGTAAACTATTTCAATTCTTTAATTGAATTACTGTTATATTATTATTTTTCAATCTCATATCCAATTTTGTATTAACTATTTATAAGTTTGTTTGTAAAATGATAACTACAATACTAATTAATTTTACTTTCTGTCCTTTGTTTTTTGTCATTTACTTTCACCTTCTCTGCTTAGAATCTTAAAACTTTTAAACGGTCTTTAAAATAATCATTCAATGAGGATACAATAATTATAAAACTTAGTTTTATGGTCAATAACAAAATGACGCCGTTGCTCGAGACTGACGCTAGTTTTTAAAGACATTGCAATTTTAAGTATTTTGTTCTATTTGTTAACATTTGTGCATATTTCGTTTTCTGTTTCATTAACCTGTCAATAGTTAGCTTTGTTTAAACATGTTAATGCAAGGTAGCCAAACTGTCAAAGCTCTCCAATGCAGGAACTACTGAAGCACTAGAAGAAAAAATTATTGTGAGCTTTGCACTGAAAATCATCCCACGGGATATTGCTCTCCATCAGAAGATTAAGTGTCTGAAAGTTGTCTGGACCTGTGCCTGTGCAGAAATCTTGAATTGTTGATGGCTTTTCAATAAGTAGGTTATGTGCAGAAGGAGCTCCTTTTTGTTTTTCTGTAGTGCTGGGGGATGCTTCATTCTTAACTTTGTTAATATTGATGTTGAGCAATGGGCTATGGTTTCCCTCAACAGCAGGATATGTGTCTTGTGTTTCAAAGTTATTTCCAATAAGTGACGGGTAATCTAATTTACCAATATAATCATCTTTTAGCTGAACTTTATCTATTTGCGCTTCTGCCCATATTTGCTTTTTCAGAGCATTTGCTGATTCCAATTGATCCTGAAAAACACGATTAATGTCAACTCTTGAAAATCAAAAACAAAATTAAACCAAAAGATATTAATCACATCAAGATTTCCAGTATTTACATTTTCACAAGCAACTGGTTGTCTGGTGATAGAACTGGAACAATCAGCATCCTTGGAACTATTCTCAGGAAAACAAGGAAGATCGGTATCAAGCTCATTTTGAATAAAGTCTACATCATGACCCAAATTTGCTTTTACATTTACTGAGCAAATGTTCATGTCATCATATTGTTCTGAATTTGGGTTTCCACTTGAAGGAATAACCAAATCATCCTCTTCGGGATCCTCATCAACTTCATCACTTTCCGACTCTTCTCTTTCAACATCATCAGCATCTACACCAGCTAGAAACCCATTTTCAAATATTTGGATTTTCTTTCTTGCTTCTGAAAGAATGGACTCGGAGTCAGTAGGATCCTTTCTAAATGCAGTTCGTACACAATATGTTGATGGAGTAATCCTTTCAAAAAGTTTGTCATCTCTAGTCAAAGCAACCGAAATTGATGCTTCAGGTGTTTTGCTGGTCGTCAGATCATGACGATCAGAACTCTGACATGAAGAGTAACATAAGAACAAAGATAACAATTCTTAAAAGAAAATATGATGCGACAATAAACAACTCACCTGAATCTTTTCTGCAAGCTCTAGTACATTCAAACCCTTGCTGCCCTCAAGAGAGAGAACATGAAATGCTGCGAATTTAACAGTTCCTGGAGTTAACCTGTGTCTCGATCTTCGAGGAGCTAATAGACCTTTCTCTCGCATTTTAGCCACTGCACTTACAGCTGCTGAACCATTACGAAGTGTTGAAATGACATCTTCGCCACTTCTACCCTGCAGTTACAAGTACATTTTGCCCCAATTAATCAATAACAGGTTTAAGACGAGAAATTTCGTCGTTGATTTAAAATATAATCAAAATCAATTATTTAGTGAAAATAGTCAATGATAACAAGGAGCTCTCGCAGAACCAGCAAACTGAAATGATTTTCATCCTAAATACTCTATTCATAAAGCTATAATATGGGACTTAAAACTTACCCTTAAATGTTCTTTCATCAAATATTTTTCTCTTCGTTCTATCCTTTGCTCACGCTTTGATCGTTGCTCTTCTCGCTGTCTCTCACGCATCAGCCTCTCTTCTTCCTTCTTTCTCTCACGATCTTGTCTTTCCATTTCTTTCCTCATCCGTCCTTCAATCTATGAGGAGAAGAAAAAAAGAAGGCTTAGCTAAAAGAGAAAATAATGTCTTTCAAGTTTCATATAATGCATGACGGCAGTTTTTGTTCATTGAATAAAACCTTTTTTCTTAGGATAACTTGTTTCTCAAGTTCTTTCTTCAACCTTATTTCATAGGCTTCAACTTCCTTTACAACTCTGGCATCATCACTCTACATGCAAACTCACATTAAATTTACATAGTTGGGGAAAATAAAAATAACAAATAAACACCGGGCTTACGAATTCAATTAATACCTTTCGTTTCTTCTCCACCCGTAATACCGCATCATTATAGGGATTCACTTGCTTATCCTGTTGAGACGAATGGCGAGCACGGGAAGAAGCATGGGAAGAATGGCGAGCACGGGAAGAATGGCTTCGAGTATTATGAATTCTAGGTAGATGATCATTTCCAATCGGAAAAGGAGGAGTTTTGGTAGGACCCTCCATTGGATCATATAAATGAGGTTGACTTAATTGCTCAAACGTGTCAGACCTAATGCTGGGCAGGTTCGGAACAAATGTATGTTCAGGGAATGTCCTTGTCATTGCCTAGAATGGAGCCCATTTTAAATCAGAATGTCAAATGAAACAACCAAACAAATAAATTTTAACTCATTCCCACCTGTATGTAGGTATAATTTAATCATATATGAATAAAAACAAGTTTTCAAGTTCCTTAAACTATTAAGGGTATGCTTGAGAGTCGGGTTTTGGAATATGAAAGAAACTTTTTAGTAACATCTCAATCACAATTAAAATTTTTTTAAAAACTTTTTATAGCTTCCTTAATTTACAAGAAAATAAGCACTCCACTCCCCATCAAAACACACCGAAAGGAAACATAAAGAAGACCATATTTGTATAATAAAATGATATATTTATAAATATCTGCAAGATACAACAAAATAGCATGTGACTCTAAGAGTGTACCAAGCAAGCATCCAAAACTACACATCCACGTTAATTATATTTCCTTTAATGCATGCATCTAAATAAAGGATATAGGTTAATGGAATAAAATGGCCCGTAAGACTAACCAAAGATAAATGTAGTTCATAATTTAATAGTACTTTTAACACGCATTCTCTAAACAAGGGTAGTTCATATAAAAGCCACTAGGACTAACCTTATTCGTTCTAACTTGGTGTCTTTTATATATTTTAGTGTCATAGGCAAGACCAGACTGCTTGTGCTGTTCTGCAACAGCTGCACCAAACAATTACTTACTCAAATATCACGTACAACTTATATCATGACAACATTGGAATTAAAAAGAAGCAGCCAAAGCAATGGCATTTCATCTCAAAACTGTTACTATAATACAAAACATTTAAGAAACTAGTTAGGCCTGTAGTGAACAACATAATCAATGTATGGTGATAAATGAATAGAGATATACAATAAAAAGACAAAGAAGACAAAAATGGAAATACATGATCAGAAGCAGAATTGAACACAAGTGAAAGATAGTAAGTAAGAGAAAGCTTTAGGACAGTGGGTATACCTAAGGGTGCCCCAAATGCATCCGGTGGCAATGGATCAAACTCAATTCCCGGAATAGGTCCATCTTCCCTCAAAGGCTCCCCTAACTTTGCTTCCACACAAGCAACTGCTCTAAGTTCATCAGTAGCAGAATCCAGCGAAGGTGGCAACTTCTTAGACGGTAACTCCTTGTCTTTCAACCGCCGGTGACAGAACCGCATCTGTAACTGCCGATCCGATAACTCCACCCTAGTAGCCTCCGACAGGTAAGTTTCCACTAACCAAAACAAACAGAAATTTCACAAAATTCATAAAAAATAAACCAACAGAACTCTAAATTGAAGACCAAAAGAATGGAAAAGGGGTTTTCATCTGACGCTTGGACTTGCTTTGACCTTCACTGGAGCTCATAATTTTACTCTTGTTGAAATTCTCATTGCTATTTTCACTTCCATCTTCAACCTTCTGACTATTATTCTCCACTTCTTCCTCCATTTCCCCTTTTTAAAACCTTAGAATTCCACAAACCCAATTTTTTTTTTAAAAAATGAAGAAATACAACAAAAATGCAACCCCAATAAAAAATAAAAATAATAATAATAATAATAATAATAATAATAATAATAATAATAATAATAATAATTAGAGTAACCTAAAAGATCAAGTGATTGTTCAAATGAAGGACACGTGAATTAGACTTTGTAGACTTAATATAGTTAATAGGGAGTGAATATGGGTGTTCAAATCTAAATCAATCCAAATTAAAAATTAAAAATCGTAAAAAATTGAAATTTATTAAATGTATTTGGATATTATTTTGTAAAAATCGATCGGTTCGGATCAGATTTCGGATTAATTTTTCAAAACTGATCCAGACCAAATCAAACTGCATACATATATTGTTTATACTTATTTACTTTTTATTATTATGATATGTTACGTGATTTTATTATTAGATGATAATAACTTTTTAATAATATTTATTAGTTTGGTATAATCTATTTATTTTTATTATTTCAACCATAATCGATCACTCTCATTTTGTAATATTAACTTTTAATATATTATATAATATATATTATATTAATTCTATGATTTATTATTAGTTTTATAATATTAATAAAAGTATAATGTGTAATTTGGATATCCAAAAACAGATCCAAATTAAACCGTATAAAATTGGATCGGATTGGATTTTTTTAATATATCATCCAAAACCAAATTAAACCGCAAGTAAATTTATTTTTGGATCGGATGAGTTTTTATCTTAAAGTCGATCCAAACCGAACCGCGAACATCCCTAGGAGCAGGCGAGCAGTTGACGATTTTTGTGGGTTAAGTAAATTTCAGAGGAACAATTTGTCTAGTTTTAAGGGAATATACGATCTTGAGGGTGCTCAGAGTTGACTTCATGAGATTGGGAAGATCTTACGGGATATGGTTTGCACTGACGAGCAGAAAGTGTTGTTTGGGAAGCATATGTTGTTTGAGAAAGCTGAGTATTTGTGGGATAATGTTCGCCAGGTTGGAAGTTGGAGGTGTTGGGATCAATTGAGATAACTTCAAGAAATAGTTTCTGGATAAGAATTTTTCGACTGATGTTCGCAGTAAAAAAGAGATTGAGTTTCTTGAGGTGAAGCAAACAAACTTAATTGTGGCTGATTATGCAGCTAAGTTCGAGGTGTTGTCCAGGTTCTGCCCTCACTACAATGGGGTAGGAGCTGAAGGTTCTAAGTGCGTAAAGTTTGAGAGTGGGTTGCGTCCCGAGATCACGCAGTTCATTGGTCATTAGGAGATTCATTAGTTCTAAGTGCTAGTCAACAAGTGCATGATCTATGATGAGGATAGTAGGGCCATATCTGCTCACTACAAAAGTGTTAATGAGAAGAAGAGCGGGAATCAAATTTGTCGTAAACCTTATGTGGCTCCAACTGATAAGAGAAAGCAGAAGTTTCAACAAAAGGCTACAAGTGGAAAAGAAATAAGTGGGAGAGGCACTCCTGATACTTTAAGATGTTTCTAATGCTGAGAGATTGAACATCATGATAATGAGTGCAAGAGAACCTGTCAGAAGTGTTTCAAGTGCGGGGAGTACTGCTCTGACTTGTTATAATTGCGGAGAACCATGTCACATCAGTGCCCAGTTCTAGAAGCCGAAGAAATCTCAATCAAGTGGAAAGGTCTTTGTTTTAAGTGGTGTGGGTGTCTTGAGGTCTGATAATTTGATTCGAGGTACGTGTATCATTAATGGTGTTTCCCTAATTGCTATTATTGATACTGGTGTAAAACATTCATTTATATCTCTTGATTGTGCTAACAAGTTGAGTCTTAAAGTGTCTTCTATGATTGGTAGTATGGTCATTGATACCCCAACTAATGGTTCGATAACTACTACATTGATGTGTTTGAAATGTCCTTTGACAACTTATGATAGACTTTGGAGTTGACTTGATCAGTTTTCCTTTGAGTCAACTCAATGTGATTTTGGGGATGATCTGGCTAGAGTTTAACCACGTACATATCAACTATTTTGACAAGTCTGTGTTGTTTTCTAAACCCGAAGAGAAAATGAATATGAGATTTATGTATGTCGATTAGGTTAAGATATCTTTGATGGAGCATGATCAAGGGCTCATGATTTTTTCTTCCTTGAGAGTGGTAAGCGATGTTGGGGCTAATGATATGTATGTTGTGTGTGAGTTTCCTAATATTTTCCTTGAAGATATTTGTTACTTGTTGTCGGAGCGAGAAGTTGAGTTCGCCAGAGACTTAGTACCTGGTACTAGTTAATGTGTCAATGACACCATATCGTATATTTGCATCAAAGCTGGGTGAGGTGAAGAAATAATTAAAAGATTTGTTGGGAAGAAGTTGTCCAGGCATATTGTATCACTGTGGGGAGCGCCGATGTTGTTGGTTAAGAAGAAAGCTGATAACACGAGGTTGTGTGTTGAGTATCAACAACTAAATAATGTTACGATCAATAATAAGTATCATCTTCCTAAGATTGATGACCTTATAGATCAGTTGGTTGGCGCTTGTGTTTTCAGTAAGATTTGTTGTACCTCAATTTTTGCCCCTAAGATTTCTTCATCATACCATATTATTTCAATCACAACAAGATCACATCAGGGTTTTTGGTTCTTCTACTTATCTTTAGCTTTGCTCTATGAGGAGTTATCTTCTACTTACCTTTTGGTATTTTTTTAGTAATTCCAAAAGCATTCTTCTCTTCAAAGAGTTATCAACAAATCACTTCAAAAGTTCCAAGGAGTTTTCATATGAAAGGAGCTTGGTGAAGAAGAAAGATTACAAGTCACCCAGATGAATCCCCAACTTCCCATATGTGACTTCAAATGGTCATAAGATGATCAATTTTTATCACCTTGAGCCCATTATTTTTTCATGATGGTCCTAAAGATGTATACTACATGCCTTCTTTTATGTGCAAAGTGAGAAAATGGTTGGAAGTTGCCTTAAGAATGCAAAAGATTATAGGTCATTTCATGATTTTTGGCCAACTTCAACAAGTCATACCTTGCTCAATTTTTGGAGATTTTGAGTGGTTCAAATTGAAAAATGTCATTCAGGAGATCTACTTCATTCCATCTTTTTTGATTAAGAGAAAATTCTAAGTGGAAGACCATGTTTGGATGCAAAGGATTATAGGTCATTTTTAAAGAAGAATTTGAAATATTTCTAAGTATGGAAAGTAAACTATTTTTCTTCAACTTTGACTCCATGTAACTTTCAGCTCAAGCATCCATTTGATTCCATTCTTTTTCCATTGCAAAGCTTGTAAACTCATCTTTCCAAAGCATTAAGAATCTTTCCCTAAGACCCCTTGAGGAGAAAATGCCATTGGATTGAACTTGGTAACTTGGAATTGAAGCTTCTCCATAAGTCAGAATTTGAAATTCATGTTTTGCCCTTTAAACATCAAATTAGCACGCGTTTGTGATCTAAACATGTTTAACCAAGTTGCCAAAATGGATTAGCGCCTTGAAATGCAAAGATTGGCCATAAGCCTACATCTTTATAACTGCCAATTATTAGAGGCATCTCAACATCTTTCATCAACATCGTATATCATCATAATTCATGTATCATCATAAATCATCAAATATCATTTATACATCAAACATCATTTATACATCAAACATCATTTATACATCACAACTCATCAAGCATAATCTCATAATTCATCGTTTCATCAACAACTCAGTTGTACACTAGTACAACTGTAACTCGTCAATTCGCAACATTGGTCGTAGGCCTACAACAATAATATTGCCCATAATTAATTACTCATCAAAGGATTACTTCTAAATCACTAGACCTTTATATATTACTATTCTGTAATACTATATCATTATCATCATTAAATCCTACTATTACAAACCAAACAACAACCTATAATCATCTTATCCACATCATTCTTCACAAAAATCAGCATAACGACTAACGCGGGAATTAACTTTAGTCCTAATTTGGATACTAGGATTATCCTTCCTATTCTTCATTTTAATCATTAAGAATAAAGTTCATCACGTTAGCTAGTCAACGCTTCGAACGACACCTCAAACGGAGTCCAAAAACTCAAGTTACAGTCTTTTCCAAACGATTCTGCCAAAACCCAGACAACATGGATTGATGCATAACGCCTTGGGTCAACGCGTACTGAGTTTAACACGCCACATGAGTCGACGCATCCTCCCTTGTATCGACTCATCCTGAGTCTACAACACTTCATGTATCAATACATGCTCTTACGTATCGACTTACCTGAGTCTGAAGGTCCTTCATGTATCGACACATGACTCCTCCGTGTCGACTCATCCTGAGTTTAAAGACTTCCTTGTATCGACACATACCATTTGGGGTCGACGCATACTGCTCTATTATGGGTAATTTCTGCGATTTCCTTTGCGTTTTAACTACGGGTTCCATACTTTAAGCCCTAAAAACATCATCTAATCATAGATAATCATCACTTACAATTATCCTATAATTCTACATCAAATAAACAGCACTGGGACATCGTTATTCATCCATAATTCATCGATTTCCTTCATACAACATCATATATAATTCAATCATAAACTAAACAATATTTCACCTATAACCCCACATACCAATTATTATAAACCATATTATAGAGTCAGAACCCCACCCTTACCTTGGATTGAAGGTTTCTCTATAACTTCCGGTTGAATTTCCGTTCTGCCTCTCTTTTCCTCCTTTCTAACAGCTTTCATGTTCTTTCTTCTAACCCTTATTCTTCCACTGCTTCTTCTTCTTATTAACTCTTATAATATAATAAAATAACCTATTATTCTCTTTATTATTTAATGGGCTTAAAACTACTACACCCCCTCTTTACTACTTCTATTTCTTTAAAACAAGCCCACATTAAATAATATTATCCTTCTAATATTATTTCACAACTTAATAAAATAATTAAATCCAACTAATCATACCACAACTTCACAAAT